CAGAGGGAGCAGATATAGTCATTAATTATTCTCAAAAAAGTTTCAAAGTGAGTTGACCAAATGAATTACTAAACTGAAAAGTCAGGATCAAGAGGCAGTTGTGCATTCTCCTCTGTACAGTCTTGCATTGTAAATAAAGCACTGCCTTAATGGTAATATTTTCCATAATGGGAGAAAGACACTACTTTTGTTTAAACTCTTTTTCATGATATCAATGATTTTTATAAAGAGCGCAGTCTTGCCTTGCTTTTCAAGGATTTTAATAACGGAAGCACGGACTCATTTTTGTAAGCTGTTCCCAACTCTTTCCTTAGAGACATCCCTCACGATAGACAGTCATATTTTAACATAATGTATTTCGTTGCCATATCTCAAAGTATTTTGACAGAATGCCTAAATGTATTGCATTGTTGGCATAACAGGAACAACAATAGTGGTACAGAAATTACTTGCAGTAAAATTCAATTAAGAGAGAAAACTGGAAGTAGGATTCAGACCCAGCACATCTCTCATCTTATCAGGTATCTGAGGGCTAAGACATACAGGAATTGCATTGATCTTGTTTTTTCTGCAAATTTCAACTTATTACCTGGAAATGCCGGCCATAATTTCTCACATATTCCATTCTGCTTCGTGGGTTGTCATGAGAAGTCAGGCTTCTCAGAATAAACCAAATATTGATATTTGCCACTAAATTATAATTTTGGGAGCGGTAGCTATTGAAATCCCTTCTCAGTCCTACTCACACCACAAGTCCACCTTTTAGAATACACAGTGAAATTCTGAGGGAGTCTCCTGAATTTTCCTTTGTTGATAATTTATATTTCTCATTTAGTCTACTTCAGTTGAACTTTTCAATATCTATCCATATGATAACACTTTGTAATAAAGTTTTCAGCAGATCCAAGAGTCATTTGTACCTCTGTGAAATAAACACATTTTGCCGAGACAATTCTTTGATACAGAAAGCTACTCCCCAATGAAAACCAGCTTCAGGTTTGAACCATCTACTATTCAACTGCTTACCTAATAGCAGAATTAGTCTACTAAGTAAGTAGAGTCCTCTCAAAAGACAAACAATAAATAAAAATACTGTAGAAGAATTTTTCACCATTTGTTTGAGAAAAAGCATGAATGCATGTATCAGAATTCTTACTTAGAAAGAAAAAGAAGTGGAGAATAAATTCTATCTGGAACAGAAAAAAAGTTTCAAAAAATTCTTCAAAGGGTCTCTCAACTAATCACAAGGGAGGCTCAAGAAGTGGGAGGTGAATCTGGGGAATAAAAAAAATCTTTAATTGAACTCCTCAAGCCCTGTGTATGCATGGGCATGTTACATGTGTCTCACTGCTAGATGGGTGTTGCTATATTGCACACTTTAAATTGCCTTTCAAAACAGAGACTCAAAAAATTAATGGAGAAAAAACAGAAGAGAGAGATATTTGGTTGAAATAATTGCTGGAGCTCCTAGTCCCTCTTCACTGACTAGGCAGCCTACAAGAATTTGCTATGTTGGAAGTCTGCCTTTGGTAACACCCTCACACAAGGAACCACGCCAAAATTCATCGAGTGAAAGTGAGTGTAACCTAAAAAGGACTAGAGAAGCTTAAAGCTTAGGATGTTCATACTGAAGGGCAATAGATATGCAGAATGGACAATATAATGTTCAGTGACAACAATAAATGAAAGAAAATAATTTTAGAAACAGGCTTTTGTGACCCTGATACCTCTTTTTATTTATTTATTTATTTATTATTATTTTTTTGTTCTGGATGACCTGTAATCTCAATATGGATTGAGAGAGTAACATTGTTCAAAAATTTACTGCATAAAATTGTCCTTGAATCACTGTGTTGCATTAAGGAAATTGTTTCTTTGCTGGTTCTGGTGGTGGTGAAACCTGAAGAGCACTCTTTCTAAGCAGTAGTATAGTAAATAACAGAATGACATAAAATTAAATTCTTTGATATTTCAGCAGTTCTGTATGCCTCTGTACCTCTTCAAAGTTCCTTAGTTTTAACAGGAAGTCTCATAATCTTTCACGGAATTATGGCACATAATGTGTGAAAGTTATATATATAGAGGTATGTATATGTGTAGATATAGAGGTACATATTAACATATTAAAATGGAAGGGACTGGAAAATGGCACATATCTGATAAACCTAGAGAGAAAGAGTAGTATGTAGTTTGCAATTGGGGGAAAAATAGTAATTAAGTAGAAACGGGTTGTGGAGGGAAGGAACTCTTACCTCAGGAGACAGTCTGCCCTACTTTCTTTTCTCACATTTTGAAATCTATGAATCTTTTACTTTACTTTATCACTTTGCTGATTCCCTGCAGGCCAGAGCTGACAGCTAAGCCTCTGTTTTATCTTAAACTGTTCAAAGCATATCGGAAAATGACCTAGCCTGCTGAGTCTGAAAGTGGCAGAAGCCCACCTACTGGTTACCCCCAGTCCAGGTGATCATTGTTGCTTGAGTGAAATCATAATGATAGTCTCAGAACAGCTGGTAGATTGTTACAATATGTGGTCTTTTACTGCTTCTAGTTGAAAACCAGAAACTGAGTTGACTTTTTTTATTGTCTCTAGAAGTAATTATTTATGTCTTGAGCCACTCTGATATCAGTACATAAAGATAGTGTCGCCCTGTGTTACTCACAGCTGTTTTGTATATGACAGAGTCAAGTCTGTTTATTCTGTGGGCTCTCTTCATTGCCTTTGAATATAACCTTACAAATCCTTTCTATTTTTATTCCATTGTGCTTCTAAGAATTAGACTTAAAGTACAGTGTTGTCACTACACTTTGGCACGATAAAATGCAGGGATAAGGTGAGTGTGTCCACATTCATGTCTTTAAAAATAGGATTCTACTGGAATTTCTACAGTCATTTCATTTCAGTAGGCTTTATCTTGTGAAGCAAATTGATATATCTCAAACAGTTCTCTGTGACCAAGCAAAATAAAGCAGAATAGGAATTGCCGACTGTTTATGCTCAGTCTGTATCATGAAATAATATGCTTGTGTATTGCATTTAATCTTCAAACTTTTACTATCCTTATTATTATCAGAAGTGGCATGTAAGTAACTGGTATATGAGATTGGTAGGTTAAAATTCATCTGATTCATGACACCTGAACATGCATTTTGCCAGTCTCTGGAGGAAGCTGTAACACCATTCTTCACTGCTATTAGTTCTCGTGAGATAATTGGGTTATTTTGTATAACTGAGGAGACAAAAACCACTAAAGCTAGGCACAGCTCCTTTTATTGTCACAAGTAACTTTTTGATTTTGTGCTGGTGAGAGTGTTTGCATGGAATTTGTTGTTATGTCCTATTAACTAATAACAAGCAGGTTTGAAGATAAGAGTTAGAGGACTTGTGAATCCATGAAGGTCTGGAGAACTCATCCAGAATGAGTCTTTCAATTCTCCACACTATTCTGAAATCGCAAGAGGTGGAGATATATACTAACATTAGCTGCACACAACAGAAAATTCCTTTTCATTTTTGTAGAGTGAAAGATTTTCCAAAGTCTCTCCAAAAACATCAGGGATACCATTCTGGATCTTTGCTTACCATATTGGAATATTGGCTTACCATCAAGCCTTCAACTATAGTCCTGTTAGCAATCACTCTCTACCACAGTGTCAGTAGTTTTATTTGTCTTAGAATTTGATTGCGTCGTTGGCACAGCTTGACTCACTATCCTGTGAACACAAGCACGATGGTCTCCAATTTACATTAGCAGATCATGCAGCAGAGATGTACGAGCTTAAAATGGATACCTTGAATTACTAAAGAAATGTCAGTTATATGGTCTTTTTGAACTATTTTAGGTGCATAGAAATTTCACATAAATTGTGCTACTTGCTGTAATGTCTTTACTCTAATTAGGCCCACTCTTGGTCAATTTATGTGCCTACTCACTTCTGAATTTTTGGAATTCATGAGTCCCATGAACCCTTATGATGCTGTGATAGTCACTGCAGTAAATGAGGAGGATGGGTCTGAAAATATATTAGGTAAACAGGCCTTATTGCCTCCTTACTAAATAAACACTGCATTGCAGAAGTTACAATCTGAAGACGTTTCAGACTTTAGAGATGTGGTGAGAAACATGAACAAGATTGCCTTAAACAGGGAGGTTGTGTACAAACTACTGCTGAGTTATTTGGGTTAGTTAAGTAACTTTATCACATATTGTAAAAAAAAAAAAAACATTAAAAAAACCCCAGAAGGACAATTGAGTTTTTTTATGTGTCTTTCATAAAATCACTGTTCATAGAAGTAGCTCCAAGGTAATTCATGGTCCCTGATTATAGTACTGTGGTGGGGCTTGGTTTGTACCAAGGGCCATTATTTGAAAGAACTCAGCACATTCTGAGAGGTCTGCTGCAGGATGGCATCAACAATATTTTTTGACAATTTCTCAAAAAATACAGTATGGTTGCTAACAGTACAAATAGGGGAAAAGAAGCAGATTTTCCAAGTGCAAACTATGCAACGTGAAAACTTGGAGTACCTAGGCATACATTTTGATTCAGTCACAGGGTTGTCAATGCCTTGCTTTTCAAGTGTAAAAAAAGGGCCAATAATATCCTTATTTTATGAAAGCATAGAAAAATTATTTCCATTTGATTGTTTTCTGGGTATTTTGAACAAATACTGAGGATACTACTCTCCTTAGGTGGACAGATCTGCCAATGGGCTGATGAAAGAAATGATGCTGAATGAAAATGACAAGCTACAGATCATTGTAAGAGAAATTAACTTCAGCAGATGCAAATTTCTCTATTATCAATATTGCTTGCCCAGATTTGTGGGAGCTGCTGTAATTGTTTTACTCCAGGAAGGGTTATCAGTGACATGGCTAGCAAGGTACAATTTTCAAACAATTTTGTTTTGTTTTGAATATATATTTTACTGAGTAAAAATATAAAATAAAAATATGTATCTTAAAATATTAATTTATTTTTCTTTTTTTTTCTTACAGCTCGTGGCCAATGCAATACTTTTTGTCAGTGTAAATTTGTATGGGGTCTTTGTGAGGATTTTGACAGAAAGGGCTCAGAGGAAGGCATTCCTTCAGGCCAGGAACTGCATTGAGGACAGGCTGAGGTTGGAGGATGAAAATGAAAAACAGGTCAGTTTCTACACTTTATTTATTTTTCTCTGTTTTTCTTGACATGACTGTAGCTATGTGAACTGAAGGTTAGGACATTGCTGCCGAGTGTATGCTAGGGTGTGTGTTCATTTGCACTGTGAAGGAAGCATGCTGCCTTCCCCCACCAGCTTCAGCTCTTCCTCATGAGTGCATGCACACTCTTCACTCTCTATCTGCAGTGCTCAGAGAGGTGCAGGCTGATGCCACAGCTACTGTCAGCTCCAGCGCCAGAGGGGCTATATTTTAGGGCTGAGTCAAATCTATCACACTATTGTAATCTAAGATCATGGTTATTTATCTACATAGATGTTTTTGGGTGGGTGCTAGATGTGCTGTAAATACTTTTCTTCTGGCTGTGTGTGTGCTATAACCTGTTTCCATGCCATCTATAAAAAAGCCAACATTCTTGGCACAAGGAGCTTCACTGATAACTGAATAAGCATAATTGATAAGAAGAATACATATATTACATTCTTGTATAATTAATAACAAAAACAACTGTGATAGCAATCTTTTCTCAAAAATTACCTTAGTAATTTCAAGGTTTGTTTCACATAATTTTATCAATTGTCCTTTCAAACAGATTTGGAAACAATGAGAAAAAAATATTATATTGTGGAGCTTGCTGTTGTTCCTCACAGGTCTGAAGCTTAAACCTACCATGATCTGTTGGTCAGTGAGATTTCGACTAGACTTTTCTTTCTGTATAGGTGATAATAAAGGGTCATGCTGGAACATAGTCTGTTCCTTTGTGTGGAATATCACAGATCCTTAACTACTTTCTGTTAGGAATTAAGTGCATGAGTTTTTATGACCTGAACATACTCTGTAATAAGTAGATGTCTCTTTGAACAACTGCATATCTTTGCTGGCTGTGTAAAAATGGCATTAGGATCAAAGCCTTTAGGTTTAATTCTGTCTTTTGTAATCCAAAGCTGCAGATTTTTTAAAGGCATAAATGTGACATAAGTGAATTTCCATGGGATTTAGACAAGCCTGCCATTTGTGCCTTTGAAAACTTCCTTCTGGGATTCAACACAAAAACAAAATTGATTTTTGTGTTTCTCTTGTTATCATGTTAGCAATCTGTCTTATTTTATAATTATCCATGCATATAGGAACACAAGAAAGTGAAAACATTACATATAAATACCATCATTGTTGGTAGTATACTAAATAATCTTGCAAAGGTTCTTCCAATGCAGTGTACAGGTCAAGGAAGAGAATACACTTTTCTCCTACACCAAGTTCACACTTGGGAACTTAACTTTATGCAGCACAGTGTAAAACTTAATACAGTAGTGAAATATGCTAATTAGTTGTCAAAAGTGCCACCAACATACTGTCTGTCTGCTCTCACACTACATTAGCATGCCTCTAAGCCCAGGGTGAGAATTAAGACCCGATTACAGGCTACAAAATTATTCTGCAGTTGCTGTGGCATAACATAGCCTGAATTTCCAGTTGGCAACACTCAAGAGTGTTTGAGAGGAGAAGAGATGCTGCTGACCTAGATCAATTTTTGTAATCATTGCTGTATTTTTTTTTCTCTGAGGTATCAACATTACGTGTTAAAAAAGCATGATTGTTTTCATCAGACTTTCTTGTCTTATTCAAATCCTTTATGCTAAATACCATAGCCCTTTAACATAGAGAATTCTTATCCAAAATACTAAAACCTTTCACTGGTATTTCTGTGCAAGTCTCTAACTGGAAAGGAAGGAACGTGCTCCTGGCTTTTGAACATACACAGCTGTCTGAATTTTAAGTGTTGATTGTGTGAGACAGATATCACAGCTGAAACTGTATGTGAATTTTCTTCCTCTGTGTCCTACTTACGGTGAATTCTCCTCATGAGATGTGTTTGTAGTAATAGTCCCACGTCATTTTGGTAAATGTATTTTCACAAGCAGGAGTAAATATCTCATGTTGTAGTATTTTTTGGACTCATGCAGGAATTTGCAAGTAGGCTTTGAAAGTGTTGCTGGGGAGAAAGGCAGAAGACAGTCTCTATTTTAAAATTCAATGTAATGCTTACCCTGTTATCTATTCTCTGTGGTCGCAATAAATAATTGCCCATGATGGTTGCATCATCCATTTCTTATGTCACTGAATGTTGGACTGCAATTTCACCTGATGTGAAGGCAAAGAGCCAAATAAGTTTTAGATAATGAGCAAATAATTATAATCATTCACTTGAGATAATCTTTTTTTTTGTTATCTATAACTCTCAGCTGCAAGACCATCCTCTGCAAAGCAAACAGTTAGGAATAAATATTTTGAGGTGGGTCCTGTTCCTTGGAATTATGCTTGTTTTGTTCCTGCCCAGTCAGAGCACCTGAGCCCTTCCCCTCACTCCCACTGCACTCTCTCTCTGTTCACTTTCTTAATTCCAGACCATCCTTTGCCCATACAGCAAGCAAGGCATTGTCACCTATCTCCTTGGAGGACTCCCAGCATTAGACATCCCAACCAATCCTCCAGGTGGTACTTCACCCCTTCCCAAGTAGGAAAGAGAGAAGCAAGTAGGAATGGGAGATGGGGATGTGTTCAGCATAGAGAAAGAAGGTGTCTGCTACTGACTGAGGCTGCTAGTTATCTGACTCGGAGGGGAAACCAACAAAGAAGTTGTGGCTCACCATATATTAATTCCAATCATAGTGGCTCTTGAAGTGGAGCTGGGCTCCAAGGAATTGATACCGTTGTACTTCTGAGGCCATCTTAACTTGAAAAGCAACAGGACCACTGTCTTTAAAGACCTGTAGACTACCATTTTCCCAGCGTCGCTTTCAGTGTGTGTATAGTTTTGTTGTCCTCACAGTTTTGTGATGGTGAATTTCACTCCAATTATGTACTAATTAATACTCTAATTATGCACTGTGTGAAACAGAACTTCCTCTTATTTGTTCTAGACTTGTTATCTGATGACTTGATTTGTTTTGTTATATATTACTAGTAACCATCCTACAGGAAACTCTTTCATGCCACTCACAACATAGACTTCTCTTATAACCTTCCTCACCTCTCTTTCCAAGCTGAAGAACTGTACTGTTTGGTCTCCTGATTTATGGAAGCTATTTCCTACCCCAGTCTTGCCAACCTTGTAACAAATCTTACTCACATTCCCCCCCCCTCTTGCACTGACAATAAGAATATTTTTATACATATTCATGCATTGAATTTGAGGAAAAAGCATATAATTTCCATTGGTGAAGTACACTTGCTGCAGCAGAGGCTGATGTGAAAAATGCCTGTTGCTTTCATATGAGGAAAGTTGGAAAAATATTTGACTTCATGCAAACCTTCAAAGCCTACAAAACCATCTTAGATATCTTCACTGGTTATTTAATTGTGTAAGTACACAAAAATATGTTTGCAAAATAAAGACAACTTTTCAAGTCATTTGTTTAGATCTTTCTTCCTCTCCTAAATGTTACTTTTGTACTTGCCCACAATTAGAAATTATGGTGGAAAATCAACTGGAGAATAGTAAAGTCTCCAGAATGGGGGATTGTCTATCTCAAAAACTAATTTTGAAATCACATCTAGTTTTTCAAACCATTGGGACTGGAGAAATGTATTTATTGGTGGCATCTGTCTTTCATGAAATAATTGTGTACTCCACTACAATGCATGAAATTTATTACAGGATTTAATGTAAGAAACTGAAAGAAGCACTAAAAATGAGAGGAGTTAGGAAGCACTGGGTTGAGACAGCCACTCTGTGTCTAGCTTTAGGGCCAGAAGCCTGCCACCCCCAACTGGTCTAGTCAGCTTTGCAGAGAGGGAGGATTGTTCAACACCATTCTACTGCAGTAATGGTGGTTCTGGGAGACAGGCTAGCACTTTGGGGTTGGTCTGCAGAGCTTCCATACATGTTCACCAGTTCATGTGCAGCTAGCTAACCCTTTTTCTTGTGCAATGCTGTGTGTGCAAATGTCTGCATGCATATGTGTATGCATTCCAAATGTCTTCTGCAATTTAGGGCAACGTCCTTCAGGTTGCATGTAGTAACTGGGTCACCACTGAGTCAGAGATTTGATTAATAACTATTCACAGAAATGGAAAAGGTGTCAACAAATTCTCAGTGCAGAATACTTTGAACTGCTGCTTAGTATGTCTTGAGTTCAAATTCCCTACTGGGTTCAGATCCCCCTTCAAAACAATTTAATCTAGACATTACACATTTTGTATATGTGTACTACCCCCTATACCTCTGAGTAAAAGGACACCTGTAGAAACCCTCCAGTGGTTTTGTCTGTTATGTTTAATTTCAAGCACTCATGAAGAAAGGGAAAAAATTATGTTTGAATAAAGCAAAGCATGTTGGACTTTGTTTTGGTAATGGATAACAGTTTGCTGGGGTTTTTATCCTTTCAGTTCAGCAACCAAACTGAGGAATTCAGTATTTGCACAGCTTTAGGCAGAAGTAGTTTCTAGAGTGCCTGATAACATGCTTATCAATGCATAATCAGGTTCTCCTCATGTTTCCCATACTGTTTTTCCTCAGGATCTTGCGTCTTTTTTTTCATTACAGTACAAAAGAAAATATGAAGTTTATCATTAAAACACAGGCCTTGTTCCATAACTATTCATACTGGCTCAGTGCATCAGCAAATCACCCTGCAGCAAAAATTTTATCCAAAATTTCTGAATCATGTGTAGATGCAAAAGCATGTTCTTGTCAAATTATCCAGTAGGCAACAGGAAAGTGATCCTTATTTTGCACAAATTACAGTGTGAAAAATGATACCTGATCCTCTGCAAAAGTTAGCCAATATATCTTTGAAAACATAGGTGTACTAACTAATTTTATCTGACAGGTACCACGTTAGTGCTGTGTTCTATGTTACAAGGCAGCTTAAAAATGGATTTATTGCGTCATCAAACCACAATCTTATACAGGAAAGTCCACCTTCCAAAATCTATTTGTTCTTTTCTAGGATCAGGAAAAGAGAACATAACGGGTATTGCAATTT